GGGTGGGGACGCGGGGCCCAGCCCAGCTGCGGGATATCGGCCACTGAGTGGTCTGCACGCGTTCCCTCATTTAATACTCCCCGTCGTGAAATATATGAGGTAGGTACCATCGTCCCCCCTTTTTCCCAGCAGGAAACAGGTTTCGAGAACTTAGGTCCTGCGGTTGGTACGCCGTCGAGGAGCTGAGATCAGAACCCGGGTCTGTCCCACAGGAGCACCTCCTGGTGGGTGGGGCCTGGGGGGTAGTGGAGGTGACTAGCGGGGCCTCTTAGTTCCTTTGTGAATAGAAAGTCAGGGCCTTTGCCTGGAGCAGACAGGGCCTTTTCCGGGAAGGGGGTTATTGCTGGGTGAGGGGGCTTCTGCCCCGCACAACCACCCCTGTCCCTTCCTGGGCCCCTCACCACCGACTCCTGCTGTCATCCCTTCTGCCCCTGCAGGACAAGATGAAGCTCATCATCCTGGACAACTATTCCCAGGCCAGTGAGTGGGCGGCCAAATACATCAGGAACCGCATCATCCAGTTTAACCCGGGGCCTGACAAGTACTTCACGCTGGGGCTCCCCACCGGTGAGTTGCAGGACGGAGAGGGTGCCGTGGATGGGGTGGAGAGAGTGGGCGTCAGGGGCTCCTGAGGGGCCGGGGCTCCCTCGGCTGAGGGACCTCCCAGAGGGCTCAGTGGCTGATGCTGTGAGAGGACACCTCCTCTGCCCTTCCACAGGCGAAGGGCCTGCCTTCCCTCCTGGGGGGGCCGTGTTGCTGTCTCGCCCTGCAGAGTCCTGGAGCAGGCGGGATCCTGGCTAGGCAGGAAGAACTTGACTTTTAGGCTGCATCCTGGTCAGCCCTGGGAGCCAGGGATCCTTAAGTAATGGATTCATCTCTCTTCTGTGCCTCTGGAAGGGCACTTACTAAGTGCTCATCCTTGGGAGGATTGAGAAGACAGTCACTCAAATGATTTTTTTTGAGGCTTCATTAGATACAGGTCTTGGGTCAAAAACAGTCCCAGTTTCTTTTGGAAACAAATCAGAATGTTTCTTTTTCAGGAGCTGACCCCTGCTCCTCGAGGGCAAGTGTCCTGATTATTTCTTTCAGAGATGGGTGGATTTGCCCAGTGGCCCTACCTGATCCACTAGAGTGGGGAATCTTCACACTTTTTTTTTTTTTTTTTTGAGTTGGAGTCTCACTCTGTCGCCCAGACTGGAGTGCAGTGGCCGCTCCCGGCCACCGCAGCCTCGCCTGCTGGGCTCCGGCGATCCTTCCATCTCAGCCTTCCAAGTAGCCGGAATTACAGGCATGGCTACCACGCCCGGCTGATTTTTTTTATTTGTTGTAGAGATGAGGTCTCACTACCCAGGCGGGTCTCGAACCCGCGGGCTCAGGCAATCCACTCACCTCAGCCTCCCAAAGATGCAGGATTACAGGCTGAGACACTGAGCGCGGCCACACTTTTTTTTTAAATGACCACATAGTAAATATTTCCGACCTCCTGGTTCCTGGGCCATATGGTCTCTGTTGCAATGACTTGACTCTTGACTATGCTATCCTGTAAAAGCAGCTGTAGACCATATACAAATGAACGAGTGTACTAATACAACTTTATTTAACAGACAATTGAATTCATATAAGTTTCACATATCACAAAATATTATTTGAATTTTAAAAACTATTTTAAAATGTGAAAGCCATTCTTAACTCGTGAACTGTACAAAAACAGGCAGCAGGCTGGATCTGGCCTGTGACTGGTTTGCTGAGCTCTGCTCCGGAGGATTATGGGAGTGGTGTCTGGGATTATGGGAGTGGTGTCTGCCTGTGTCTGTGAAACGAGAATGTCTGGGGACCTGGGGCGGCTGTGCCGACATCCTGTCTCCTGACTGTGCAGCGACCCAACTTCTGCATGGGTCAGAGTCTGTTCTACTGAAATCCCTTCCTAGTTCCCACCATTGCAGAATCAGACCCAGGTTCTTCAGAGTGACATTCAAGGCTCTCCAAGACCTGGCCTCTCTCTACCTGGCACCAGCACAGTGTTTCCATATGGGTTCCTTGAAACATTCCTTCTGTTAGATGTAACACCAGTCAGGGTTGTGGGTGGAATCACAGAAATCCACTCTGGCTAAATTGAGCAGAAAATGAGTTGATTGGCTAGATATTGGGAGCTCACAGGATTGGTGGGAAGGCCAAAGGCTGGAAAAATGGCAGGAGGGCAAGCCAGGTGGCTCAGGCATGACTGTGGCCTTGGCACAGGGACCAGTCGGTTATTTTGTGTGGGGTTGGGAGGAGCTGCCACTATGACTCAGTGGTATTTACTGAGTGTCCTCTGTATGCAAAGCAGGTCTAAACTCTGGGGATACAGCAGTGAGTAAAAAAGATATGAATTCCTACCTTCCTGGAGCTTAAATTTTAGAGGGAGAGACAGATAATAAATTAATTAGCAAAATCTGGAGTATGTTAGCTGTGATAAGAGAGGAGGAGAGGAAGCAGGAAAGGATAGGGGGCGTCGAGACAGGGCTTCACAGTGTTGGCAGTGGTTGCAGGAAGGTCTAAGAAAGTGGCATTTGAGGCCTGCAGAGCAGAGAGTTATCCTTGCAGATAGTTGAAGGAAGAGCACTGCTGGTGGAGGGAGCAGCGTGTGCAGTAGCCCTGGGGCGGGGCGGGAGGGGTGGGGTGGAGCGGAGTAGCAGAGGCCGGGTTTCCTGGGGCCCTGGTAAGGACTGGCCATTGCCAAGAGTGAAATGAGATGCCATTGGAGGGTTTTGTAAAGAGGAGTGAGTAATCTGATAGGATGGAGTCTTCCCTTCCTTTTTTCATTTTGAAAAATTTCAAAGATTCAGAAAAGTTGAAAAAACACTATAGTACCATTCATCTAGTCACCAGTTGTTAACATTTTGCTGTATTGGCTTCTCTCTTTCTCTGGCCCATGATCTCTGTCTACACACCACTCCCTACTCTGCACCCCCCCACACACGTTGTTTTCTGAATCACTTGAAAGGAAGCTCCAGACAGCCCAACACTTATCTCTCAACCCTTCAGCATGGATCTCCTGAGAGTTAAGGACATTGTCTTACTCAACTAGGGTATGATTATCATACCTAAGAAAATGGAAAATCTTGCTATAATACCATCTAATATACACACTGTGTTCAAAAGTTTTTCTTAATTGTTCATGTTTATCTTGTATAGTTTTTTTTTTTTTTTTTTAGACAAAGTCTTAACTCCGTCACCCTGGCTGGAGTACAGTAACTCAATCAGAGCTCACTGCAGCCTTGAACTCCTGGGTTTAAGTGATCCTTCCACCTTAGCCTCTGAGTAGCTGGGACTACAGGCCCTCAAAATGCCTGGCTAACTTTTGTAGAGACGGGCCCCACTATGTTATGCAGGCTGGTCTTGAATTCCTGACCTCAAGCGATCCTTCCACCGTAGCCTCCGAAACTGCTGGGATTAGTCATGAGCCGCTGTGTCTGGCCAGTTGTTTTTTTTAATGGATCCAGTGTCCAATCAGGGTTCATGCATCTTTAGTCTTTTTAATATACAGTGTCCTCCTGTCTTTTGTTGTGTGTGTGTTTTATCACATTGACGTCTTCCCTGAAGCACAAGGTGAGCCTGTGCTTAACCCATCACAGCTGACACTCCTGCTTCGGGTCCCACTCCTAGACAGCGAGCTCTTCTAGGATGGCCAGCATCTCTTGTTGCCTGCATCCTTATCACATGGCCGTGGGCCTGGCATGCCGTGGTTGCTCAGGAAGTGCCATGTTAGTCATGAAGTTGATGTTCACTCAGGCACTCTTCAGAGTGACTCCAGTTACTAGTGAGATGCAGATACATCCCTGCCCTTGCCGAGCTCACAGTCCAGTAGGGAAGCAGCCATCGAGCAGGCAATTAATGGACAGAGGCAGTGAGGATTTAGAGCATTGGGTGGGACTTCAGACCTGACTTGTTTTCCTCAGATTGGGCAGGTTCTCCTTGTGGGGCAGCCCTGACTCGTTCCTGTGCACCCTGTGGGCTTCCAGGAGCTGAGGGCCAAAAGGGTGTTTATGGCTGTGGCCTCTCTTGCAGGGAGCACCCCACTTGGCTGCTACAAGAAGCTGATTGAGTACTATAAGAATGGGGACCTGTCCTTTAAATATGTGAAGACCTTCAACATGGATGAGTATGTGGGTGAGTCTTTCTCTCTAAGGATCTTACCTGATTCTAGGAGGGTGTGTTTCTCTTGCCACTGCCCAGCCCTGGAGTAGAATGGGCACATCCCAGGGAGCCAGTTAGCAAATCTTAGGCTCAGTTAGCAGTCTTATCTCTTCCAGACCTTGGTTTGCTCAGCTAGAAAATGGGGCTAAGCCGGGCTCGGTGGCTCAGCCTGTAATCCCGCGCCTTTGGGAGGTTGAGGTGAGTGAATTACCTGAGCTCGCGGGTTCGAGACCCGCCTGGGCAGCGAGACCTCATCTCTACAATAAATCAAAAAATCAGCCGGGCGTGGTAGCGCGCGCCTGTAGTTCCGGCTACTTGGAAGACTGAGGCGGAAGGATCGCTGGAGCCCGGCCGGGAGCGGCCACTGCACTCCAGTCTGGGCAACAGAGTGAGACTCCAACTCAAAAAAAAAAAAAAAAAGAAAATGGGGCTAATAAGCTGACCTCACAGGTTGTGAGTGTAAGTGCTGCCATAATAGATGTGGAAGTCCCTTGTACATAGCAAATACTTAATACGTATTAGACTCTGCTTCTGTCAGTTCCCCAGCTCCATGCCATTTCTTTCTGGAACAAAGGATTGCATGTGGGCTCTGGCTGGGGTGTGTCCCAGGGTCAGTGTCTGGACTTTCTCGCTGGTGTGCTTCCCTGACTCCCCTCTCTGCCCGGCACGCCTGGGGGGGATGGGGTTGGGAGCCGAGACTGCTGTCCTTTCCGCTGCTGAGAAGCTGTACTTTGGTCTTCAGTCGCCTGCCCTCCTCCCAGTCCCTTGGTAATGGCTTCACATTAAACATCCTTTTTTAAAAAACTATGGTAGATTACATATAGCATGAAACGTACCATCTTAACCACGTCGTGTGGCCAGTTCAGTAGTGTAAGCACAGTCACATTATTGTGCAACCAGTTTCCAGAACTCTTCATCTTGCAAAACTGAGATTTCCCCATTTAACAACTCCTTAGGATCCCTTCCCCCAGCCCTGGTAACCATCGTTTTACTTTCTTTTTTTTTTGAGTTAGAGTCTCACTCTGTCACCCAGACTGGAGTGCAGTGGCTGCTCCCTGCCACCGCAGCCTCGACCTGCTGGGTTCCGGCGATCCTTCCGCCTCAGTTTTACTTTCTGTTTCTCTGAAATAACTACTCTGGCCACCTCATGTAATTGGAACCACATACTATTTGTGCTTTTGTGACTGGCTTCTTTCACGTAGCATAATGTCCATAAAGTTCACCCATTGTTGGAGCATGTGTCAGAATTTCCTTCCTGTTAAGACTGGCTTCACATGTCCTCTTTTTTTTCTTTGATAGACCACCAAGAATGACTTTGCAGGTTTTTAATGCTTAACATTGAACATTCACTTTAGGGCAGGCATGGTGGCTCACGCCTATAATCCCAGCACTTTGGGAAGCCAGGGTGAAAGGATTGCCTGAGCCCAGGGGTTCAAGACCAGCCTGGGCAGCTTGGTGAGATCTCATCTCTACAATAAATCAAGAAAAATTAGCTGGGTGTGGTGGTGCAAGCCTGTAGTTCCAGCTACTTGGAAGGCTGAGGCGGAAGGATTGCCTGAGCTCAGCAGGTTGAGGCTGCGGTGGCCCTGAGCGTGCATTGCACTCCAACCTGGGCAACAGAGTGAGACTCCGACCCCCCAAAAATTCACTATAAATATTCTTTTTCTTCTTGGAATTTGTTCCTCAAATTATGATTTGGGAAACCCTAAGATAACTCTCTCCACCACATGGTGTTGAAGTTGGGGTTCAGGCTAAGCGGGGTAGAACTTGGGTGAGTGGTGGGGTGGGAGGCCCAGGGGGAGGGGTGTGCCTGCTTTCTTTCTCAGGTGGGCCCAGTCCCCCACCAGGTGGCCAGGTAACTTCCAGAAACCCAGAGTGTCCCCAGCCTCTAATTGAGGGTCATTCCCTTGAGAAAAGGAGAGCAGAATGAGGGGACTTCCCAGGCCCCTGGTGTGTCGTCTGGAGGTCACAGGTGGTGACAGTGGGCGTGTGGACACTTACAGACCAACCCAGCCTGTCCCTGGTGGCAGGGGGTTAGAAGACTGGTGCCTGAGACTCCCTGATGGGCAGGCCCCTGAGAGTGCCTCTGTAGGTCAGGGTGGTGTCCTGACATCCTTTCTGGTGGGGAGCTCTGGCTCAACTGGGGCGTGACTGAGTCTCCCATGGCCCCACAGGCCTTCCTCGAGACCACCCAGAGAGTTACCACTCCTTCATGTGGAACAACTTCTTCAAGCACACTGACATCCACCCGGAACACACCCACATTCTGGATGGGAACGTAGCCGACCTCCAGGCTGAGTGTGACGCCTTCGAGGAGAAGATCAGGGCTGCAGGCGGGATCGAGCTCTTTGTTGGAGGTGAGCTTGACGCTGCAGCGTGCATCCAGGGCCAGGCCTGGGGGCTTAGAATGTGTGGGGTGGAGGACAGGACGCCACGCCTGTCTCCACACAGCCTCCTCTGTCTGTGCTGGTTACCAGGGAGGTGTTTATCACCGCATGGAGAAGTTGGGATCCAAGGGCCCTGCCTGGCTCTGCCGCTCGGGAACGGCGTTATCATGGAGATCTGTCTCTGTCTGCAGTGTGAGGCCATCTCTGTCAGTTGAAAGGCTTGGATTTTAACTCAGATTCTCTTAAGGGTTCATGGGTCAGTCCTGGAACTTACATAAACACCTAAAATCATGGACTCATGTTGTTCTGAAAGGTTCCACACAGTGCCTGCCTGCTGCTGACGACCAGTTGGACCCAGAGGCATTGCGTGACTCACTCAGGGTGAGCCAGCCAGGAGCTGGGAGTGAAGGGGGGAGCCTTGGCACCTGCCTCTCAGACTGGGCTGCTCCTTCATGCGTCCTCTGGGCTGCTCCTTCATGCGTCCATCTGTCACCACCCACTGGGGCATAAAGTTGGACTGCCTTTTCTTCTCCAGAGTGAACGCTTCTTTGCTTCAAGGTGGGGAGGAGGAGGCAGGAGTGCTCCTGTTCTGAGACTTTATAGACTTGGCAGCCCCGGCCCATGTCCTGCATGTGTTTTATGCTGAACTCTATCCCAGCAGCAGGACCCCTTAAATACAAGCAGAAGAGACAGAGAAGTGACACTTCCGACGATCTGTCGGGGGGAGTGTGCAGAAGCTATTTGGAATGCTCATCACTTGGCTTTTGGAGGATGGTATCAAGTTACATTGTGTGTGCCTCAGATAGAAATGGCAGGGAGGGGGCTGGTCACATGCTTAAGTCACACCTCCCCAGGGTTGCAGAGGGAAAAGGGACACAGTTTCAAGGACCTTTTACAGACCCTAGTTAGGGAAGGAGAGAGCGTCCATTCCTGATGCACAGGCTGCCCTGGCTGTCTCCCTGCAGGCATCGGCCCCGATGGACACATTGCCTTCAATGAGCCGGGCTCCAGTCTGGTGTCCAGGACCCGTGTCAAGACGCTGGCCATGGACACCATCCTGGCCAATGCGAGGTTCTTCGATGGAGAGCTGGCCAAGGTGCCCATCATGGCCCTGACGGTGGGCGTGGGCACTGTCATGGACGCTAGAGAGGTAAGGGCACAAAGGTCCTCTAGCCTTGGCAAGGGCAAGCTTTTTGTTATTAATTTTAATCATAGCAGCACCACCTAAATACATTCTTAGTAATGAAGATGTCATAAATAAGGCTAAAATCCCAGCTGGCCCTGCCATGGTTCATTCTTCTCTTTGGAGGTAACCATTGATCTCAGCATGAGGGGAGTCCTGTGAGCACTTTCTTTCTTTTTTTTTTTGAGCCAGGGACTTGCTCTGTCACCCAGGCTGGAGTGCAGTGGCATGCTCATGGCCACCACAGCCTCAGCCTGCTGGGCTCAGGCCATCCTTCTGCCTCAGCCTTCCAAGTAGCTGGAACCACAGGCACGTGCCGCCATGCCTGGCTGACTTGTTCACGTATTGCAGAGACAAGGTCTTGCCGTGTTGCTCAGGCTGGTCTCGAACTCCTGAGCTCAGGCAATCCTCTTGTCTCCACCTCCCAAAGTGCTGGGATGACAGGCATGAGCCACCGTGCCCAGCTGAGCACTCTATCAATGCCTTTGAGCAACTGTCTCCAGCAGCAGGCTCCCCGGCCTCTGCTGACATGCCCCTTTCCTGCTTCCCATGGGCAAAGGGAGCCCAGCCCCACCCATGTTAGATCTGAATTTGTACATGCGCTGACACTGAGAGGGAGCTGGCAGAGGTCACTGTTTAAAAGGACACCAAGGATGCTGCTGGTTAATGTTCTCAGGGTTAATACATGTGGTGAAATGTGATTAGAAGATAAGTGTCTCAGACTAAGTTTAGTGAGTTTTTCCCCTAAAAGTTGGGCATTACTTTTTTGTGCTTCCAATTTCCCTTCTATATCTTCATGAGAGTTTTGCAGCTTTTTCCCTTCCTTTCCAACTGTATCCATGGGAACCCAGGCATCGGGCTTCCCTCTCTCACAAGTGTGTTTTCTGTCCCAGGTGAGGCTCCTCATCACAGCTGCTAACAGTTTTGCTTCATGTTTGCTTGTCTGTGAACAAGCATCTGACCAAGGATAGTTCCCTGTTGGGAGTGATCTTTTGTGAGATGGGAAAAGTCACCCAGATTTCTGTTGGGTGACTGTGAGTCCGTGCTTAGGGGGTTACCCTGCTCTTTGTGGTCATGCAGCTTGTCAACACTAGGGCATGAGGGCTGTCCTTACTATGTGAGGGGATCTGGGAAAGGAGGTGGGCTAGAAAGCAGGAAAATCTTGTTTTCTAAATGCCTCTGGGTCGCTGAGGTGTCCTGAACAGACAGTCACGTTCTATGCCTGTGCGTCCTCATCGTTAAGAAAGGATGTACACGACCACTGTATCCACTTGTACACTACCCCATGGTACAAGTGGATTGAAATGAAATCTATAAAGCTGAGTTCTTCTCCCCTCTCTCTTCCTGCCCTTGCATAGAGCTGAGTTCTAAGGGCCACTTATGTTCTTGCTATTTCAACTGTTAGGTGGAGTCTTTGCCTTTGTTTCATGTAAACAAAAAGCATGACCCCAAGTCACACTAGCTAGTAGGTTTAACGCTGTGAACCGAAAATGACCAGATTAAGGGGTGTGACATTAGAGGCCCCACAGAAACTCCTGCCATCGCTTCCAAAGCCTTCTTTTGGGAGGTACAGATTGGAACTCTTCTTTCACAAAGGGGGATCGTGAAAAGTCACCCCATGGTTGGGAGCCGAGGGGTGCTTTTGCACGGCACTGTTCACTGTCATCGTCAAAGAAGCCTGAAGGCACTGTCACAGGGTGGCTCAATCACAGGCTCTGAGGTGACAGATGATCTCGAGCCAGTCACTGAGCCCCTGAGCCCATCTCCTCGTCCCTGGGTGTGGGGACAGGGCTGCTGCCCGCCTCAGGGTGCCTGTGTGATGAAGAGTGTGTGGGGCCTGCGGCCCTTGCATGTGATGCGGAGACAGCGACCCTCACAGCCGCCTGGGCGGGCTAGAACCTGGGGGTCTGGGCTTCTCCCTCTGCCACGGTGTGTCTTCTGATCCCCAGGTGATGATCCTCATCACAGGGGCCCACAAGGCCTTTGCTCTGTACAAGGCCATCGAGGAGGGCGTGAACCACATGTGGACCGTGTCTGCCTTCCAGCAGCATCCGCGCACTGTGTTTGTGTGTGACGAAGATGCCACCTTGGAGCTGAAAGTGAAGACTGTCAAGTACTTCAAAGGTGAGGGGCGGCCCCGGCCAGGTGTCAGGCCCAGGATGTGCTGGGAGTGAGGCATCCACAGCTGCGGGCTCAGGGAGAATCACACCTGGCTGCCCCACGCTGCACAGTCACCTCTCTCCCACCGTGACTGCAAGGGGCCAATACTGGAGATGTGTTTGCTCTGAGGAGGAGGAAGGGAAGCACAGGGCTGAGTCCAGGGGCTGTAGTGACCTGCTCGCAGTGACATGGAGCCTCGGCATATCTCCAGATCTCCTTTCTTTTTCTTCCTTTTCGTTAGAGACAAGGTCTTGCTATGTCACCCAGGCTGGTCCCCAACTTCTGGGCTCAAGTAGTCCTCTCATCTCAGCCTCCCAAAGTGCTGAGATTACAGGTGTGAGCCACCACACCCAGCATTTTTTTTCTTTTCTTTCTTTTTTTTTCTTTGGGTGTCCCCCAGATCTCACACGGATGTTCCCCTCTGAACTCCTTACTGCTTTAACCTTGAAGGGATTACATGCTGCTTGAAGTAAACGTGGGTGAACATCCTCCTTTACTAAGTAGGGAAATAGGAACTTGTTCTTTGCTACAAAGGTTAACCTGTAAGTAGCCAGCTCCCATAGTGACTGAATTTAGAAAATCTCCATGAACCTTCCACTCACTGGGAATAAGACTCTTTTCCTGCTCCTAGGGTGTCTATAATTTGGGGGTCACAGAGCAAACAAAGAGTCAAGTCTCTGGACATAGTTTGAGAGCTCGTAGATGTTACTGTTGGTAACTGTGGAACACTTGCTACTACCTGTATCAACTACTTTTTGTTTTTAATTTTTTGTAGGTTTAATGCTTGTTCACAACAAGCTGGTGGACCCCTTGTACAGTATCAAAGAGAAAGAAACTGAAAAAAGCCAGTCTTCTAAGAAACCATACAGCGATTAGCCTGTGCGGGGCCCTGGCATCAAATACCTCATAGAGGCAGGCGGGTCTTTCTGGAAATTGTCTTTATAGCAGAACTGTATTTCTTTAACTCAGTGTGGTTACTCCAGATAAGTGGGTGAACTTACTGTTCTTAGCTATGAGGCTAGGCGCTGAGTCATGGACTTTAGCTACAGAGAGAATGATTTGCTGTAATTTAATCAGAAAAAGTATCTGAAAAATGTCCTCCGTCATTTTGACTCTGCCAAGCCCAGGCTAGGGCTGTTTCACTGTTCTGCCACGGCTCCTGTTCACAGGTATGACACACTTCACCGGGGGTTTCTGTTCTGCGTACACTGATTCTCAGGGGAGGGTGTCAGGGGCTCATGTCCGCTTCACTCCACTTCTCTGGGAGTCTTGAGGCCTCTCACATAGGCCTGCTGCTTCCTTAGGAGTCACCATTCCAGGCTAAGGCCCAGACTCTCAGTGTCTAAAGTGAGTGCAAAGTAGCCGACCCTCTGGTCATAGCAGGTGCCCTGGAGAGACAACGGCCCACCCTTCTTTCTCTCTCACAGCCAGCCAGCCTTTCTGTGAACTGGGAGGAGTCCTTGGGGGAGGACTTGTGGGGGTGGGGCCAAAGAGGTGGCATTTACTGATAAATCCAGAGCCCCCAGGGGCCCAGCCACTCCAGCTTCTGTCCCCCAGTGCCCTTCACCACCAGGAGGAGGAAGTGGAAGCTCTTTCTCCACTGAGGACTTGTGTGGCCCCTCTTTTACTACTCCCCAGTGAGCAGGAGGCCCCTGGGGCAACAGGTGCTGGCTCGGTCGCAGTGCTCAGCCTAGGCAATGGGCTGGGCATGCAGTTCAGGCGTGGCTTTAGTCGCAGCACACGAGTATTGTGTCCCCCTGCTTCCTGGGAGTTAAGTGCCAAGATGACACGTTGGATGCCCCACTTACAACATCCTGCTCTGCGGGTCCTCAGGCGTACTCAGAACATCAGGAGAGACCACCTCTGCCCCTTTGTCCTCCCCCCTTGCTCCCAAGCTGTGTCGCTCTGCCTTCCTTTACTCTGAAGTCTGGTGGAGCCCATGCCGCCACCTCCCTCGTTGTGCCTGTTTGAAGCGACTGTTTCTGGGAATTATCTTCCAGAGTCTGGCTCAGGCCTCTCTGTGAGGGCTGCGTTTGGTACCAGTGTTTTGTTTCTAGCTTTTATACATGATTTTGCTGTCATCCTGTTTTAAGCTAATGGATCAAGGGACTTGTTTACAATGTGATATTTTCTATTAAATTCAATATTTTCCATAACATGAGTCATTTGTAGAATTCGACCCCCGCGTTTCAGAAGGTTGTCTGGTCTGGTATCTTGTGTATTCTAGGAACGGCTGATGAACAAAGCCTCACAGTCCTAAGCTAGCAGGAAGCCCGCGGGCACAGCAGCTGGCTTCTGGTCTCTTCTCCAGTCATCAGGGTGGAAATAATACAAAGATTTTGGGGAAATGAAGCCCATATGTGAAAAAGGGCAGCAATAACAGATGAGCAAAAGACTGTCACATTCTGGCTGCACTGGGAGCCAGACAAGGATACAGTTCTTAGGAAGAGGTTTTTTTTTTTTGTTTTTGTTTTTGTTTTGAGTTGGAGTCTCACTCTGTTGCCCAGACTGGAGTGTGGTGGCATGCTTCCAGCCACTGCATCCTCGACCTGCCAGGCTCCGGCGATCCTTCTGCTTCAGCCTTCCAAGTAGCCAGAACTACAGGCATGCGCTACCACGCCCAGCTAATTTTTGATTTATTGTAGAGACAAGGTCTCGCCAGTTGCCCAGGTGAGTCTTGAACCTGTGGGTTCAGGCAATCCACTTGCCTCAGCCTCCCAAAGTGCTGGGATTACAGGCTGAGCCACCAAGCCTGGCCTAGAAGAGAAGGTTTCTGATGAGGGATTTGAAAACTGCAGGGGATAGGGAAAGACAATTCAGGGGTTTTGCTTTGTTTTGTTTTGAATTAATGGAATATCTTAGGTCAATATTACCAATTAAGGAAGTACAAGTAGAAGTTGGAAGAAGGGTTTTTGTTTTGTTTTGAGTGGAAGTCTCACTCTGTTGCCCAGGCTGGAGTGCAGTGGCATGCTCCCAGCCACCGCAGCCTCGACCTGCTGGGCTCTGTAGATCCTTCCACCTCAGCCTTCCAAGTAGCTGGAACCACAGGTGCGCGCTACTATGCCCAGCTAGTTTTTTGATTTATTGTAGAGACGAGGTCTTGCCAAGTTGCCCAAGCTGGTCTTAAACCCCTGGACTCAGGCAATCCTCTCACCTCCACCTCCCAAAGTGCTGGGATTACAGATGTGAGCCACTGTGCCTGGCCAAGGTTGTTTTTAAAAAATGTCTGAGGCATTGCTGAGAGGACAAAATGGCCAATTACATGGGATTCACATTGGCCAGGTTGTGACGGTTTGATCAAAAAAGAAATATTAAATACAGCTAGCTGATTGGTCCTAGCTTGTAACATTAGGAAAAAAAAATACAGTTGACTGGAACAAGTTGAATTTGTAAAACAGCAAGTTGGATACTCAGAAAGGGAAAAGGTAGGATGAAGTGTACGCAGAGTTGCATTTCAGGAAGAGCAGAGAGAACATGTTTACCATTTTATTACATTTAGTATAAGTGGCAGAGTGCTGACACCCATGGGCGTCACCTGTCTGCCTTTTTTTTTTTTTTTTTTTTTTTGAGTCGAGTTGGAGTCTCACATTCTCCAGGCCGGAGTGCAATGGCACACTCATGGCCACTGCAACCTTGACCAGCTGGGCTCAGGGGATCCTTTCACCTCAGCCCTCCAAGTAACTGGAACTACAGGCACATACCACCATGCCTGGCTAATTTTTGATTTATTGTAGCAATGAGGTCTTGCCAAGTTGCCCAGGCTGGTCTTGAACCCATGGGCTCAGGCAGTCCTCTCACCTCAGTCTCCCAGAGTGCTGGAATTATAGGCGTGAGGCACCATGCCCAACCTGTCTGCCTTCTATAAGCACATCTGTCTATAGAGTAGGAGTGGGTGGAGAGCCTGACCCACCCTTCTCCTGTGGCCTACTGTCTCCCTTCCTTCAGCTTATCAGATGTCATTATCAGAGGGTGTCCCTGACCCTCCAACGCAAAGCACATGCCCCTGTCTTGCCCCGTGCTGTTCTCAGGGCCACTGCCCACCAGACGCATGTGTCGTTTGCCTCTACAGGTGAGCTCTGTGAAGGCTGGCCCTTTCAAACACTGCTATGTCCCACCCTCTAGCAGGTCCTTGCTATCCAGAAGGCTCTGTAACTGTCAGCCTGATCGTTCCCCCAAGAGCAGTGACCATCCTTGCTAACCAGGGACACAGCTGCGTGTTACATGATCATGGATCAGCCAACTGGCCTACTGAGATCGGACTTTGCAAATGAGATACTTCTTTCCTGCGAACCAAAATCCTCCCTGCGATGAGACTTGTGAAGCAGGGGTAAGTTTCCAGTAAGAACACATCATGGTAGGACTCTGAGTGTTGTCATCATGGAGGGCAAGTAAAACACAGTAACGGACCTCAAGGAAGCCCTTAACACTGGCAACTGCTATATTCATCGTCACACCCAGTCCATTTGGTCTCCTCGAAGACATTCGTAGGTCCCCTCTGCCCCAGCTATTCTCTCAGCTGATGACCTTGACAACAGAAGCAGTCAGATGTCCATCAGGTCCCGCCATCACACACCCGTGGGCCAGCCCTGCTCACATTGCCATCTCCTGTTACCTGTTCCTGGGCTGAGCCACCCACCCTTGCTGTTAGATCCCATCCTCTCTTGCAAAATTCCCCTCACCTGCAGCATCAAATTCTCCTCACCTGAACCATTTCTACCAACATGCAAAGCAAGAGATAGCTGGGCATGTGCCTCACACCTGTAATCCCAGTGCTTTTGGAGGCTAAGATCAGAGGATAGCTTGAGGTCAGGCATTTGAGACCAACTTAGGCAACACAGCGAGACCCTGTACCTACAAAAAAAATTTAAAAGTTGGCTGGGTGTAGTGGTGCACATCTGTTGATCCAGCTACTTGGGAGGCTAAGGCAGTAGGACTGCTTGAGCCCAGGAATTGGAGGTTACAGTGAGCTATGATTGTGCCACTGCACCCCAGCCTGGGCAATATAGTAAGACCCCTGTCTTTACAGAAACATAAAAAATTAGCTTGACGTGGTGGGGCACGTGTTAGTTATAGCTACTTGGGAGACCGAGGCATGAGGATCACTTGAGCCCAGGAATTGAAGGTTACAATGAACTATGATCACACCACTACACCACAGGCTGGGTGGGAGTAAGTCTCTAAAAAAAAAAAAAATTACAAAAAAATGTAAGATATAAAAACAAAACCCATTTGCCGCCTCCTACAGCCTCACTTCTCTGATCTCCTTTATTGCAACATTTCTGGAGTTACCTATGCTCTGACTCTAATCTCGCCCACTCTTTCTCTCCTGGTACAGTAGTATCTGCTGCAGGTATGTTCCAAGACCCCCAGTGGATGCCTAAAACCACTATAGTACTGATCCCTTAGACACTGTTTATTTCTGTATATACATACCTATGATACATTTATGTAATTTATGCCTTAGACACACAGGAAGAGATTAATAGCAATCACCAACAACACAATAGAATAACAACAATATACTTTTTGTTAAAGTATATGGCCGAGCGCAGTGGCTCACACCTGTAACCCAGCACTTTGGGTGGCCAAGGTGGGAGGACGGTCTGAACCCAGGAGTTAAGAGAACAGCCTAGGCAACATAGCGAGCTATCTCCACACAAAAAATTTTTTTTGAATTAGCCAGGTGTGGTGGAATGTTCCTGTAGTACCAGCTACTCAGGAGGCCAGCACAAGGTGTCACCTAAGCCCAGCAGGCTGAGGTTGCAGTGAGCCATGATTGTACCACTGCACTCCAGCCTGGGTGACAGAGAACCTAAATCCAAAAAAAAAAGTTATATGTGAATGTGGCCTCTTTCTCAAAACATCTTACTATACCATACTCACCTACCTTGGGACTACAGGTAACTGGAAAGCGGACTGTAGATAAGGGGACTACTGTGTTCCCATTATGTATGGTTATACCTTATGTCATTGTCCCACAGTTCTCGGATATTCTGTTGTTTTCGTTTTCATATCTTTACATTTAAGTTTGGAAGTTTCCACTGACGTATCTTCAAGCTCACTGAGTCCTGCCTGGCTGTGTTCAGTCTACTGATGTACGCATCCAAGGCAACCATCTCTGTTAGTGTTTATTTCTGGCATTTCTTTTTTATTCTAAGTGTTTTCGTCTCTCAGTTATATTACCCACTGTTCTTGCATGTTGTATTGTTCACCTCTGAGACCTCAGCACATCCGTCACAGGTATTTAAAATTCCAGTCTGCTAACTCCAAAGCCTCTCCACTCCTGAGTCTGGTGCTGAGGCCCACTTTCTCTCTTCCCTTTCCTCCCTTCTAGCATGCCTTGTGCTTCTGCACTGAAAGCCAGATGTGACACATTAGGTAATAGGACCCAAGGTGAGCAGGCCGTTAGTGTGAGGCTGGATGTTTATCTGACAAACAGGCTGTGTTCAACATTGGCTGCAGCTGTAGGTGTGTGAGCTTCAGTTTTCCTCAGTGCCCTTGTTTTTGTCTCTGCTGTAGTCTGTGCGTTTCCCTAGAAATTCTTTCTTAAAATAGAATGTGACTTGCATCTCTCTTGGTTGTGAGCCACAGCCATGACCCTGAACCCTACTGATGGGCTGTAGAAGCATTCTATAATCCTATGGTTAAGGCTTGTCTTTATTTTTCTTTCGTGGTTTAGAGTCCCTGCACTGTGACCTTCAGAAGTGTTTCTTAATCCTTTTTTTTACCTCCTATGTGAGTCAGGTAGGCTAGAGGCAGCTTCAGCCATCTAATTGCCTTCCCCCAGGTCAGAGAAGGCTCCAGCAAGTAGTCTTCCCTGAGGATGCCATGGAGAACAGAAAGTGTGGGGCTACATTCTTCTTGGATATATTTCACAGTCGTTGCTTTCCCCTACCCCTGTCCAAAGCACAAGGGAAGTTTTCCTGTCATGTTCACAGTGAGAACCTAGTGGGTCTCCTTGAGGCAAAACCTACCAAAGTGTGGGGCCCCTTAGACTAGCTCCCAGTTTTTAACTTTCAAGCTAGTCCATCCTTAGCCCCCAGAAGAAATTCACCTAGATCTCAGTTCCTGGTTCCAGCAGCTTCTGCTTTAAATGAGCTGGTCTGTATTTTCTTGTCTCTGTTTTTGTGGTAAAGGTTTACCCCGTGACCTCAAT